ACGGCCGGGGAACAAACGGCGAATGTGAACTCGGGGGCCGCACAGGCACCTTCCTTTCCCGGGGCCTGGGAATGGGAATTTTCGCGTTTTCAGACGCGTTTGTCCCGGTTTTAGAAGTGGGAGATGGCGATCGGGCCTTGGGAATATAAAATAACTTGCCTTACAACTTTCTGCGACGCATGTTCCCCACCAGGCTTTAGGGATGTAAAACTAATATTTGGAGACTTTTTTTTTTTCGTGTGTGTTTTTTTCTTTTCTGATTTTGACTTTTGATTTTTATGGCTTGGTTTGGTTTTTTTTTGTCGTCTGGGTTTTTTTTTTGTGTTTTTGGGTTTTTCTTCCTTGCCCTAGAATTAAAATAACCTGCCAGTATTTGTTTCAAAGATTGCAGCTGCATTTTATTTTATTTTATTTTATTTTATTTTATTTTATTTTATTTTATTTCCTTAGATTGCAATTACGGAAGATAGACACCCGGTCGGTTCTACCTTCTGCCATGGCTCAGTTTGGAGGACAGAAAAATCCCCCTTGGGCTACTCAGTTTACAGCCACGGCGGTGTCTCAGCCAGGTCAGTTTACACTCGGTGTTTGAGCCCTGACCCCTCGGGGATTTGGCGATTCCATTCTTGGCTGTGCACTTCAGAGTGTCACGGTGCTGACTGACTTATCCAAAGTCTACTTAGGTGCTTTAAATCGGGAGTTTTTCCCCACAATGGAGACTTTAAAAGTCATTGCCTGATGCTGTCTGTTGGTTTTGTTTGTTATTTGGGTTTCTTGAGGGGTGTGAGTAAAATCCCAGGTGAGTTTGTATTGATTGTTTCAGCCAATAAACAACATATCCAGTTAGTCATAGCCCAAGATGTGTAAATCAAATTACCTCCTATTAAATTACATGGTTCTGGCCTAAATAATACCAGCTCTAGTAAGGCATTACAGATTTCCTAAGTGCTGCCTGAGTTTCATTTCCTGGGCAGCCTGAATCGATGTTTACACATTATTTTATTCATTTGTTGTATTAATCGATTAGAAATAATCCATTTAGTGGGAATTTGTTACTTGGGTGGGAAGAGGGTTATTTCTTTTTTAATGCTGAGTTAGAACTCAGAGGTCCCTATAAGCAGAGGAATTGCTGGGTTTGGCATGGAGTTCATGTCACAGCTCCTTTGGCAATGCCAGCCTGGCAAAGCTTGGGAATTGTGACCGTGTTCACAGGGGTCTGAGGATGAGGGAAGAGATGAGGATCTGACTCCATGGTTCAGAGGGTTGATTTATTATTTTATGATATATATTACATTGAAACTATACTAAAAGAGCAGTAGAAAGGATTTCATCAGAAGGCTGGCTAAGCTAAGAATGGAAAAGGAATGGAATGATAACAGAGGTTTGTGTCTCAGACAGAGCCCGAGCCAGCTGACTGTGATTGGCCATTAATCAGAAACAACCACATGAGCCAATCCCAGATGCACCTGTTGCATTCCACAGCAGCAGATAACCATTGTTTACATTTTGTTCCTGAGGCCTCTCAGCTTCTCAGGAGGAAAAATCCTAAGGAAAGGATTTTCCATAAAAGACCTCTGTGATGGGGAATGTGTGACATTTTTGGAGGTGTGTGACATCTCTGGGGTGGGAATCCCTCTCCTGTCCTGACTCAGGTCCTTTCCCAAGGTAAATCCTGTGTCTGCAGTGATTCCCATGGCACTGCTGCACTCACACTGTGCATCCCAGGGAGTGACTGACTGCATCCTCTTCCTTCCCCTGGGCTTGTTCTGCCCAGCTGCTGTTTCAGTGCATACTTGTTCCCCTGCTCTTTTAATCTTTAATACAAACCAAGAGCACAGGAAGCATCTTTTGGGAGGTGAGCAGTGCTCTCTGACCCTGCTGGGAGCTGAGGAACAGTGTTTGTGCTTGAGCTTGCCCCTTTCAGTGTGAAGTTGTGGCCTTCAGGGAGGCTGTATTCCCAAGGAGGAGGTGCTGAGAGCTCAGGTGTGCTGACCAGCCCTCTCCTGCTGCTCAGCACCCAAGAAATGGTGCAGATTGGCTTATCCTTGTGAACCTCAGTGATAGTAAACTCATTTTAGAAACATCCTTTCAGAGGGCTGGCCAAAGCTGTTGCATGTATTTATGCATGCCAGCTGTTTTTATCCAAGTGTCAGGTTCCTTCTCCAGAGCTTTGAGGTGCTTGGCTATGAGGGAAGGAGATCTGGATTTTTGTAACACAAACAACATGATATATGACTATTTTCAAGCTCTCTGAAGCAGTGAGTGATGGTGCTAGAAACCCAATTTGATTGTTACAAAAAAGGTAGGATCAGTGTTGGGGGTTTGTGTTTTTCATTGTTTTGGTTTAGGGATTTTTTTAAAATTTCTGATGTGGAGGCTGTCTTGGCCATCCCTGGTGAAGAAGTAACTAAATGAGTGAAAGCTGTTAATTATTAAGGTGTGGCACACTGGTTGTGGACTGAGGGCTGTGTAATGAAGGGTCTGTGATCCCTCTGGGAGGGTTTATTAATTACTCTCTGAGGAATTAGAAGAGGGATGTGCAATTCCAGGTGCCAGCAGAGATGGATGTGTGAAGGGAAACTCCTACATGGAACACAGTGAATTTTTGCCTGCTCCTCATCTCATGCTTTTGTGCATCACAAGGCTAAAACCAGAATAAAGCCCCCACCGTGGTAGCTGAGCGTTGTTAAAGAATAGATTAAATCATGCCTACTACAGAAAATGACTTTAACTTGCATAATGATGCAAAGGAGAATTCCCTCCTCCTCTCTGGCTTTTCATTTTTGTGTCCCAGTGCTTGCCCTGTGCATGGCTGTGATGAGAAGCTGTGTGGTTTTATGGAGCTGTGGTGCTGGGGGGGTGCTGGCCCTGCTGTTCTGCCTGGTTGTGAGGATTTCATGGTGCAGGGATGGTGCTGTTGCTGCTGCTGGCCCTGAGTGTCAGCCCCTGAGGAGCAGGAGCTGTGCACAGGGTGCTGCTGCCTGTAAACACATTTGTCCCATGACAAATGAGCCTGCTTTGTCTGTGCCTGTTAAAGGAGTGGGTTTGGAGCAGCTTGTGTGGTGTTTGTGTTGCAAGTGTGTGAAGCTTAAAGAAACTTGGAAGCCCAAGGCCACTATGTCACCATTTCTGACAGCTGTGAGCAGTGTCCCAAGCCCTGCATGGGGCACTCCTTAGCTGTGATTCTAATAAATCCACATCACTGACCGAGGGGACATCTGTAGCTCTGTATTTTGAAGATGCTTCCCTAACTTCTAAGGATCTTTAGGGTTTAGATGTAGGAAGAGGGATACTGAATACTGTCTTTGTGTTGGTTGCAGTGTCTATAACCTCACCCAGAGGTGCAGCCTGGAGCCCAGGTTCTGTCTGAGCCTGCCAGCTGGAGGTGCAACTCAGTGTTTGGTGCCAGGGGGGGTTGTTTGCCCTGCATCTGAAGGAAGGCATCTCCATCACTACTTACTGAGATGATTGCAAACCCTGAGATGCTGTTGTTTGCCACTGCAGATGCTTGTGGCAGTCAGCTGTGGATTGCAGACTCAGTCTGATTCATTCTCTGTCTCTTGTTTTTCTGTGTGATTTTTCCTTTTTGTTCTCTTTCTTTTTTATTTTTTATTTTTAACTAGTAATGCAAACTCAGTTGCCTAATTAATTGGAGCCTGTTTGACCAAGATGAGTACACAGATGAAAGGCAGTCAGATGAAAGTCCTGGAATACTTTGGGGCAAATCAGTGGCAACAAGATCCAGCTTTGAGAAACTTGTTACTACAGGTGTTATCTTCTGAGAGGATCTTGGCTGCCTTTTGTCTTTGCCCTTTCTCAGTAGGTTGATCTGCAGTGTTGTAGACTATAGATACCCAGTTAATATTAAATGCTCAGTGGAGATGGCAAAATTTCTTAGTTTTTTTCTTAGTTGACAAAATGGGATAAGGGTCTTAGGGTGGGCTGGGAATTGCTGGAGATAAATGTGGGTTATGCTGAAGTGGAAATGGCCATAGTGATGCTGAATAGTCCCAGGATCTGGTTTAGGGAGTAGGCATTTTTGTTGGTACACAAAGTAGGAGAAAACTTGGGAAATTTGCTTTTGGTAATGCTTCCCACCTCCATCCCCCTGTGCTGGGACAACTTTGGGATGGAACTTTGGACTGAGTGACAGTAGCTGGCATAGTCACACACGTTCAAAGGTGACAGCAGGCAGCAGATTGCTGCACTAATGGGAATTTCTGCTCGATGTGTGGAAGGAAGAGGGGAAAGATGAATGCACTGACTGAGCCAGCAGAGTGTTCCAGCCAAGAAAAGTCCCAGGATACAGCAGCAAAGCTTGTAAATTGTATTTAAAGGGTGAGACAGTGGTGAGGGTCCAGTTGAGGGTGTCCTTCTGGATGGTCCAAGCTGCACATTCAGATTGCAGCTGGTGATCAAGCAGGAGGCAGGAGGATGAAGACAGTGGAGGGTTTGTCAGGACAGAAGCCTCAAATTTTGTTTGCTGGCTTCTAAAGAAATGCAAATTTTGGAATTTTCCAGAGGGGAAAGTTAATGATATGCTGTACACTGTAGAATGCTTGATTTCACTTTTAAAATCCTGTTACTTCCTGAAATGCTTGTGTGGCAATATTTGATAGAGATCATAGTGGTAGGAATTATTTTCAGTGCTGTTTATGTATTTCATTCCAAAGTTATGAGATGATCAGTGCCATCAGCAGGGTCTGCTCTCATGGGAAGGGCAGTGTGCTGTGGTGGGAAGGGTGACATTATTATTCAGGGCCTGTGGAGGGGGTACAGCATTATTTATGGTGACAGTCACCAGCTACAAGCAGGGTTTTACAGCATCCCTGGGTCAGGAGTGAAAGGTTCCCTTTGCATCAGTAGGAACAGAGCACAAACTCTGCAGGAACACTGTAAATCTGTTCCTCATTCCCCTGTGTGTCTGAGGGCTTTGGAAGAGAGAAGAGCTGTGTTAATCCTGAATGTTGCTCAGTTCTGAAGATGGCTGCCTGACCTGTTTTTGCTGGCAGTGTGTTTCCCTGCCCAGTTTCTCTCTGGTTTTATTTAAACATGTGCACTAGGCTGATAGTTTCATGAAGTGATATTTGATCATGCAGCTGCCCATAACTTTTTACAAAACTCCTGCCAGAGAGGGAGCAGGTTTCCAGATAGGTTTGCAGCTTTTTGCTGAGATTTGCATTTTGCAGGGCTCTTTGTCACCCGGGAGATCCCTCTGTAAACCTTGAGCGTACCTTGTCCAGAAGCACAGCCTGTGCATAGCTGCTCCTCATGATTTGCTTATGTTCTGTGGTGAATTAAAAGCCAGCATGACAATAAAATAAACAAATCTTTCCTTCTGGGCAGCACAAACCCCTCCTATTGAGAGCTGCAGAGAGCTTGAGTCCCCTTACACATGCAGACTGATTAAACTCTGTTGTTCCAGGCTGCTCCTTCTCCACCAGCCCCCCTTCACAGGGCACAAAGACAGCACTGAGTGAAGCAAAAACTTGGTGATTTCAGAGCACACTTTCCATGAGCCTCTGTTTCACAGATGCTGTTACAGTAAAGCTTTCTCTTGCCCTCAACAGAATGCAATGCATTCAT